CCCCCAAATGCTTCTATGGCTGTGACCCCCAGAGAGAAAATGGCTGTTCCCCCCCACACCCCCGTGATGAGTCTTAATTGCTGTGTCTCTTCCTTAGACGCCTGTCCTGCTTCCCATTTGCTTCCCATTTGCCAAGCCTGCACTCCAGCTCTGACCGCCTTGTGCCTTTTCTCCCAGGGCTCAGCGCTCCCCGTCACCCTGGCTGCTGCTGGCTCCCCGCTCCCACGCACCCTCCCCTCCTCTGGCTTCAGCGCCCCTGCCTGTGATGGTCAGGGTGGGGCTGAGCCCCAGGCCTGGCATCCAGAGCCACTCAGTGAACACGCCAGAGGACGGTTTGCGCCCCTGTGTCCCGCCCCCCCCCCCCCGCCCCTGTGCACTCCCATCTGGTGGAATTAGGTTGAAACCAACTGAAATGGGGATGTTGAAGTCCTGATACGTGATGAGGCTGAGCGTGGAAAGGGAGAGGAGGCCTGGCTTCTTCACCTCCCTGCCTTGCCCCCCACCATTTCCTCAGGTCAGGGCCACGTCCACCTAGGGACGCCTGCAAATGGCCCTTCAGAGGGTCCTCTGACTTCACTGTGGCCAGAACTTGTGGGCATTTTACAAACTTCTCTGCGGTGTGACCTACTGCTTCCAGAACTTTCCTCCTTGTTTGCCTTTGTGGACATACAGTCCTCTGGGCTCTGCTCTGCTCTCCCCAACTGCTTCTTTGCACTGTGTCTGGAGGAGACTCTGACTCCTCAGAGTCAGAACCCCCCCCCCCCAAGAGGGTTTCCTTCTCAGCCCTTTTCTCCTCACACCTCCTGGGTCCCCAGGGAATCTTTTCCCTTCGTGGGACCAACTGCCACCCTGCAGGCCCCTGAAATCCAAGTTCTCCCGTGAGATGATCCCCAGAGCTTTGGACCCATGGCAGGGTGCTGGCTGCCTCCAAGGCCGGCATCAACTGCCCATGGGGAGGCCCAGCGCGGAGCTCTCGGTCCCTCTGCTTCCTTCCCCTGCTCCTGGTTCCATCCCCCCAAAGACACGCCCCCTCATAACCTGCAGCTATGACCTTATTTAGAAAAAAACCTTTGTGGGTATAATTAAGGTAAGGATTTCAAGGAGAGAGCATGTGGATTGTGGTGGGCCCTAAGTTCAGTGACCAGTGCCCTTAGGAGAGAAGACAAACGCAGTGGAGCCACAGGAAGATGGGGGCCATCACACGCCAAGGCCTGGGGCCACCGGAAGCTGGATGGGGTGAGGAGAGACCCTCCCCTAGAGCCAGAAGAGGGAGCACAGCTGCAGACACCTCTACCTCAGCCTCCAGCCTCCAAGGCGGCCAGAAGGACATCTGTGTTAAGCCCCCTGGTTTGTGGCCTGGGGGCCACCGGGCGCTGATGTGCCAGCCCAGGAAAGGACCCACATTCTGCTCTTCCCACCCAATGACGTCCCTTACATGCTGGGTGTGGTCCCGGGCCCCCAAGTCTCAGAGGCAGTTAGGCCTCATGAGAGCCCTGTGAGTTGTTATGACGGCTACAGATGGGGGCAGATAGGCACAAGCCGTCCAGAAGCTTCCCCAGCTCACCCAGGGCGTGGGCTGGAATCCAGGTGCCAGTGGGTTCTCTGGGAGCCCTGCTCCCAACACCACCCAGAGCTCCTAACCTGGGGACCGGGGGGCCCACAGATAGAGTCTGGGGGCTCCGCAGCCTTGGGTAAGAAAAACACATCTTTAATTTCGCTGATGGCCAGCTGAGAGTTAGCCTTCGCTTCCACCGTCTGTGGAGGCCACGGCCCCGAGTGGCAGGAGCAGTGGACTGTGGCTTTGTCACTAACAGAGCCCCAGGTGCCCCTGAAGGCCGCCTCAGTGTGTCCAGATGATGAAATCACCTGTCATCATGTAGCCCACCGCCCCCTCTTGCCATTTAATGCATCGATAGAGAAGCACTTAGGTTCATTCTGAGGTTGCAATTTGTGCAATACCTTGGTGATATTTTGATTTAGTGTTTACTTTGATTTAATACTCTGAGATACTATATTGATAGTATCTCAACGTCATTGGTTTCTTTGTAACCCTATGTGATTTTTTTAACGTACTTTTAAATAATATTTATTTTTGTGAGAGAGAGTGTGGAAGTGGAAGAGAGGCAGAGAGAGAGGGAGACACAGAATCTAAAGCAGGCTCTAAGCTCTGAGCTGTCAACAGAGCCCGATCCGGGGCTCAAACCCATGAACCATGAGATCACACCTAAACTGAATTCAGAGGCTTAAATGACTGCGCCCCCCAGGCGCTCCTGCACTTTTTTTTATGCTATTATTATTATTTTTTTTATTTTGAGAAAGAGAGAGAGAGAGAGAGAGAGAGAATCCCAAGCAGACTCCATGCTGGCAGCACAGAGTCTGATGTGGGGCTCAAGCTCACGAACTGCGAGATCATGACCTGAGCTGAAATCAAGAGTCAGACACTTGACCGACTGAGTCACCCAGGCGCCCCTGTTTGATGCACTTTAAAATTATTCCCAGAAGGGCTCCGGTGCCCGGCCATCCCAGGGGCTGAGCGGCCCTGCTGTGCTCCAGGCCTCCGTCCGCCCAGCCGTGAGGACATTCCTATTCCACCAACCTCATGTTAATGCGCTGCCCCTCAAGGGCCATCCAGGTCCTTGTCATCTGTGGCCTCCGTTGTTGCTAGAAACGGGCTCTCACAGCCCCTGCTGCCTTTGCCAGCGTCCACCCCTCAGAACTCCCTGCCACCCAGCCCCTACTTCTCTCGCAGCTTCCCTGCCCACCCGCACCCCCCACCCCTGCTCCGGAGCACACACGTCAGTCTCCCCATCCTGGCAGATGGAGCCCTGTCAGCTGGCACCCGATCCCTCCCAGGGCCCTGTCCACCCCCTAGCAGGCCCCGCTGTCCCGGCTTCAGCCCTCCGCCCCTCCTCGTCTCCCCCTCTGGCCCAAAGCTCCTCTAGCCCCTCACGCCACTTTACCCCTCACAACACTCACACATGCTGTTCCCCTGCCTGGAATACCCTTCCTCCACCTTGTCTCTTAAGCCCATGTTTTCTTTTTAAAGGAGCAGTTATTGTACTCATGGTGGGTACTCACTGACCCTAATGAGTATTCTCCTGTACTCTTCACAACAGCCCCACGAAGACATATGACCCCATTCTCTCACAACCAAGGCTCAGAGAGGTGAAGTAAATTGCTCAAGGTCACACAGTGAAGGATGGAACTAGGGTCTGGCTTGGAGTCAGACCCTGATTCCACAGCCTCCCCCATTACTCCAGTCTGCCTCCAAGCTTCCCCACCCCCCCCAGAGGAGACTGCCTTACCCACTGTCGCCCTGTGGCTGGGTGCCCTGTAGGGCTGGGGCTCATGACGGATCATCACACACAGGAATAGCTAATCATGTCCCGCGGACAACAGGTTACCCTCAGGAAGTGATAATCCCGTGAATGCTACTCTGGGATTTTTGCTCTAGCAGAGTGGATAAACTTTGGAGCCCCCAGACTTGACTTGAATCCCAGCTCAGCGTTGCTCATGCACTCATCACACAACTCTCAGCAAGTCACCCTAAATTCTGAGACTCTGTTTCTTGATCTGTAAAATGGGTGGTATTGATCTGAAGGGGACTCTATTGCATCAGAGGTGGGAAAGTTCTGGGTTTGGCCGGAAGAATCCAAATACATCACCAACTGCAGGCTAGACACACAGGTCACCAGACACCGGAGGAACGAGTGTCCCCCCAGCCCCACCTCATGGTCCTGAACATCAGTCCTTCGGTATCCATGTCCTCTGCAGGTGAATCTGCAGTTCTCACGAAAGGCTGTGCTAGATTAAAATCAGCCACAAACTCAACATGGCTACACAGTCTTTGTCTCTCCTCCCACCAAACGATGGCATCTCTTCCGCCATCCTGGAATCTGACTGGCTTTGCAACTTGAGTAATAGAAGGCAGTAGTCAGTGATGATACAATGCATGTCCCCAGCCTGGGCAACTGGAAGCCTGGTATATTTCTACCTCTTACACTCCCAACGTGATCACCAGAAGGACATGCCTTGTTGGCCTGCTGGCCTGCTGGCCCCAGGAACAGAAAGAGAGACCCATGGAGCAGACCCACGTCTAGCTCAGCCAGCCAAACACAGCTGACCCCAGCCAACATCCAGATACAGAAGAATAAGGCACTGAGTTTTGGGACTGCTTGTTACACAGCAACAGCTCACTGACACGAGAACAGAAAGAGAAAAAGACAACAGTCTAACCGAGTAGAACATGGAGTCGGGCAACCTCCATTATCAGGGTGCACAACACCTGTCCTTTGATGCCTTAGCACTAGGCTCTAGCATCACAGAAATGGTGCCGTTGTGAGGAAAGTCACAGCACAGGGAAAAAACCAATCAGGGCCCCAGGGGCTTCAGGCCTATCATCTCTCCCCTGACAGACCAGCAGTGTAATTATCTCAAGTGTTTGTGGATCCGCATGGCATCTGCCCTCCCATCCTTCCCGACACCACGAGCAAAGGGGTGAGTCAGGAGGTGTTTTCTGGAAGGATAATTACACACTTCCAGTGCTTGGCACGTAGTAGGTGCCTGATTCAAGGGACCTTTCTCACCATACCCCAAGCGGCCAACACCACCCTAAGCTGTGTTGTGACATTTCTGTCCCTCTCATTCGTAGGACATCCCCATTGTGCCTACCTGCCATCAGAGACCTTGCTCACAAGGTTGGCTCTGCCGGTTACCTGCTGCCCATGTTTTAAGGACTCATATAGCCTCAACTATAAGGCTCTCAATGATCAGGTCTTTTTCCTTCCCCTTCCTGCTTCCTTCTGGCCCACACACTTCTAGATATGTTGCTTAAAAAATATCTTTTTCTATCCTGTGATGACCCTCCCCCACCTTCTGGCCGTTTGCCTGGACCTGCACTCCCTGCTTTGCAGACCCTCCTTATTTAGGCTTGGCACCCGCCCTTCTGCCCACTTGGCTCCTCAGGCGCCTCGCAGGCCGACCTGGGGTTGGGGGCTTACCTGGAACGGCCTCCGAGCCCCTGTGCTCTGTTCCCTGGTACCTTCCCAGGTCATCTGGCCTGGCTTCGGCTTCCCCGGCCAGCTGTGTCCTGAGCTCCGGCAGGAGGTTCGTGTGGCTCCGGAACTTGTTCTCACAGAAGTACGTGCACTGCTTGGGGTGCCGTCCGCAGATGGAGGCACAGCTGATGCAGTCCCTCAGCAGCTGGTCGTAGTACCGGCCTTGCTCTTTGTGGCAGCTGAGGGACTCTGGGGACACAAAGGAGCAATGCTACTGGATGACAGACACCTGTGGGACCTGTGAATCTGGCCTCCAAGGGCATCGCAGTTTAAACAAAATCACAAGGCGCCTGGGTGGCTCAGCTGGTTGAGTGTTTGATCTCGGCTCAGGTCGTGAACTCACAGTTCGTGAGTTTGCGCCCCGCGTCAGGCTCTGTGCTGACAGCTCAGAGCCTGGAGCCTGCTTCAGATTCTGTGCCTCCCTCTCTCTCTGCCCCTCCTCTACTCACAATCTGTCTCTGTCTCTCTCTCAAAAATAAATGAACAGTAAAAATTTTTAATAAAAAATTTTACAAAATGATAATTCAATTCCCCAAAAGCAATTCCAGAGTAATGCAAGTCTTTTCCCAATATGTAAGTGGAAGGCTATACATTGTCCATTAAGTACTGTTTTAGCTGCAATATACACTTTTGATGTGTAGTATTTTTCCTGTATCTACTTTACATTGGTTTTACTTTTCATTATTATGTTTTCTTTGACCTATAGATTATTTAAAAGTGCATTTCTTGGGACGCCTGGGTGGCTCAGTCTGTAAAGCATCTGACTCTTGACTTTGGCTGTGGTTCATGAGTTGCAGCCCTGTGTCGGGCTCTGCATGGACACTGAGGAGCCTGTTTGGGATTCTTTCTCTCTCTCTCTCTCTCTCTCTCGCTCTCACTCTCGCTCTCGCTCTCTGTCCCTCCCCCATTCCCACACACATGCACCTGCTCTTTCTCTTTCTCAAAGTAAATAAATAAAACTTAAAAATAAAACTTAAAAAGTGCATTTCTTAGTTTCTAAACATATAAGAAATTTCTAGTTATCTTCTAAAATTGAAATCTGGGTTATTACATCATCACATAAGTTGTTTACTGGCATTTTCCCAACTTTATAAAGGAGAAACATTTCATATTAACATGAGGATTGAGGAGAAGACCAGAAGCCACCTTGGCAAATTGAGGGAGGGGGCTGGAAGGAAGATAGAAAAGCCCAAACTAATAGTGTTTCTTCCGTCTTAATGAATGAGAATTATAAGAGCTTAAACAGCCGTCAGAGCAGAGGCCAAGCAAACTAATGCCCAATCACACTTGCTTTAAGAGAGCAATTTTTAAAATATGTTTATGTAGGAGCACCTGGATGGCTTAGTCGGTTAAGCGTCCGACTTCGGCTCAGGTCATGATCTCACAATTCGTGGGTTCAAGCCCCGTGTCGGGCTCTGTGCTGACAGCTCGGAGCCTGGAGCCTGCTTCGGATTCTGTGTCTCCCTCTCTCTCTGAGCCTCCCCTGCTCACTCTCTCTCTCTCTCTCTCTCTCAGAAATAAATAAAAAACATAAAAAAATGTTTATTTATTTTTGAGGCAGGGGGGAGAGACAGGGAGAGAAAATGTGGGAGGGGAAGAGATGGACGGGGGGACAGAAGATCTGAAGCAGGCTCCAGGCTGACAGCAGAGAGCCTGACGTGGGGCTCAAGCTCACAAACTGTGAGATCATGGCCTAAGCTGAAATAGGACACTTACCCAAACTGAGCCACCCAGGTGCCCCTAAGAGAGCAATTTTGAGTGCATAAAAGAAATCTGTACTTTCACAGGACAAGTTTCCCTTGTCTTTAAAATAAGATTCTATTTATGTGAAAATGGGACTCACACAGGGGATTTTAAGGGTACATTCCAGAGGCAGCGCCAGATAGAGGGTAAGGACACAGCCTTCAAGGTCAAACAGATTTGAGCATCCTGGCTCTACCCTTGAAGGTTGTGGGGTCTTAGCCTCTCCATGCCTCAGTCTCCTCATTTCCAACGCAGAGGTAATACTGATATTGACTTCTTAGAGTTGCTATGAGGATTTGAGGTGGCCGGCACAGTGCCCAACACATAATACCTGCTGGGTGAAAGGAAGGTTTAAGCATCCATTCATTTGTGCCTCTTTGCGGCCCAAGCACACCAGCTCTTATGTCCTTGACCGGGAAAAGGAAAGGACCAGGAAGATGGTGGATCTGGGATCTCAGGGAAGACTTGGATGGGACCGGTGACCTCCCCCTGCCCTGGCTCTGCCCCAGGGTCCCACTAAGCCACATAGGACCACTGGCACTGCCACTCAGGAGACAGAGTTGACAGGAGGGTGGTGGTGTTCCCAGGGTCTTAGGTGTGACCCCCTCCCCTCCTCAGGACCCCCAGTATGGCTGCTGCACGTGGTACCGGAGCTTCCCGCACCGCCAGCCCTCACTGCCTGACCTCATAAACATCCCCTGTGGGTCTTGATATTTCCTCTTGCGTTTTTCTATCTTCATGCCTTTGCCCACATTGCTCCTCCCTCCCGGAGTGCCCTGGCCCCGCATCTGACTGCCGCGTCCACAGACTCAACAATCCATCTCAGGTGGCACTTGCCCCCAGATTCCTTCCCTGCTCCCCAAGCCGTCGGCCAGAGGGGTCTCTCCCAACCGTAGTGTTTTGTGGTGCTTTAGCCTTCTCTCCTGGATTGTGTTATTTCTCCCATCAGATGATAGCCCCTGAAGGATCATGTCAGTTTCCTATTTTCAAAGGGCTAGAGAGTTCCATGAATATTTGTGGAATGACATAATGATTATTCTACCTCATAATGGTAGAAGAGTCACCCAGTCGAGGTTCAGAGTCATGGCTTTGGAGTCAGAGAGTCCTGGTTCAATCCTAACTTTTCTGCTGTTACGCTGTGTGACCTTGGGCAGGTCACGCACCCTCTCTGAGCTGCACTCAATCAGTATTTATGAATCCCTTACTATATTTCAGTCATGGTGGCTAGGCTCAAAAGGAGTTCACAGACTGATGGGTTTTTTTTGTTTAAGTTTTAAAGTTTATTTATTTTTGAGAAAAACAGAGTGTTAGCAGGGAGGGGCAGAGAGAGAGGGAGACACAGAACCAAAGCAGGCTCCAGGCTCTGAGCTTCCAGCACAGAGCCCAACATGGGCCTCGAGCCCACAAACCACAAGATCACGACCTGAGCCAAAGTCAGACTCTTAACCGACTAAGCCACCCAGGCACCCCTCGCAGACTGATGGTTGAGGCAGACATGAAATAAATACACACAAAAGAACATAACACAAATCATGATAAGTTCCATCAAGGAAAAGAACAAGTTATGAAAAAGAATAGCAAGCAAGGGTGCCTGGGTGGCTCAATCGATTAAGCATCCAACTTCAGCTCAGGCCATGATCTCATGACTTGTGGGTTCGAGCCCCATGTCAGGCTCTGTGCTGTCATCTCAGAGCCTGGAGCCTGCTTCAGGTTCTGTGTCTCCCTCTCTCTCTGCCCCTCCTCTGCTCCCCTTCTGTGTCTCTCTCTTTCAAAAATAAATAAACACTGGGGGGAAAAAGAATAGCAAGCAAAATTTCTTTTTCAAGACAAACAGAAAATTGGATATAGCCTGAGTACAGATGATGCTAAGGAATTATTGCTGGGGGTGACAAGGTATCAAGGTGATATTTTGAAGGCCCTTATGTGTTGGGGATTCATGATTTAGTATTTGCAGGTAAAGTTTTATGAGTTCTTGGATTTGCTTTAAAATACACAAGCAAAAAAAAATGGTGTTGGAGAAAAAGGCAGAATCTATAAAATTCATGATGGGTAGAAAGGGATTTATTATGCCATCCTCTGTGATCATTCTTATAATAAATAGTTTCCAAAGCAAGTCAGAACAGAAAATGACAAGGGAATATTTAATTTCTGTTGGGCAATCAGACAAGACTTCTGACATTTGGCCTGAGACCTGAAGGTTGAGTAGGAGGGAGATGAGGGAAGAGTAACAGGGAGAGGCATTCCAAGCAGAGGATACAAACACATGCAAAGGCCCTGAGGCAGGAAGAAACACAGCATGTTCAAGAAACTGCAAGGAGGCCAGCGTGGCCGGAGCAGAAAGATCGAGGGGGCAGGGGGTGCGACAGTATACATCTCCTTCCAGCACCTCCTCCTCAGGCACCCACGCGCAATGGGCCACAGGGATGTCTGGGGGGAAGGAAGGGGTGATCCAGCCCATGGGGCTCAGGCCCCGGAACTCACTGCAGAATGCTGCACAGGTGCGTGGAATCTGATGGCTGCAGATGAGTTTGCAGGAGAGGCAGATGTTCAGTAGGGGATCCCAGTACTGCTCTTCGGGGCACTGACCCATGGCCACCCCCGTCCGCAGGCCCTGTGGAGCTGAGAGGCAGGGAGCGTGAAGGCAGCTGACACCCTGCTGGAGGTCAGACCCCAGACAGCTCTCCCACTCACGTTCCTACTCTGTTCCAGCAAGCAGAGGGGGAGCCAGACAAAGCTAGCTTCCAATCCCAGCCGCACTTGCTGGCTTCCCTGGGGCAGCCATTTCACCCCCCCAAGCCTCAGTCTTCCCACTTGCGAAATGGCAGTTTGGGGGCCCCCTCTCTCGCAGCAGCCATGCCCTTCTCATCTCTGTTCTTTTCCCTCTTTAACATGCCTCTTTCTACTACAGTCCCTTTTTACCTGCTTGTCCCTTTTTCATAAAATGCTCTACTTCCCTCTCTGCTGGTTGTTTTCTCCTGATCCTTTAGGTCACGGTTTCAATTTCATTTCCTCAGGAAAGCCCGATTCTTTCTTTCCCAGATTAAGAAACACCTCTTCTTTTGCACACTGTTACTTGTCACTTTTTTCACTTCACTTTTATGAGTGTGACGATTTGATACCATCTCCCCCGTTAGCTGTGAGGATCATGCAGGCAAGGACTCTAATTGTTTTGTTCACTGCTAGGGCCTCAGAAACTACATAGTGCCTGGGACATATTAGGTGCTCATTAAATGACTAAAAAGAAAAGCAGATCTAACCAGTGTCGAGCATACAGCAAGCACTCGATAAGTGCCAATTTCCATCCCCCTCTTCTTTTTTTACTGAGGTACAAGACACATGAAGTGATGTGTGTATAGTGCACACATCTTAGGTACACAGCTTGATGCATTTCTCCATATGTATACACCGGGGTTACTATGAGGTGTAGACATTTCTTGCACTCTGAAGACTCTCTTGGGTCCCCTCCTGTCCAGTACTTCGCTCCGGAGGTAACTTCTATTCTGACATTTATCACTGTCGGTCCTTAATATTGCCCATTCCTGAACTTTTGTGTCTGATTGTTGGCTCCACAATATATCTGGCACACCTCTCTATTGAGGCTCTATCAGTCGTTTGCTTTGTATTGCTGAGTCTTCCATGATATGAATGCTTCATTTTCTCTTATTTTCTGCCTGATTTCCTGGCTTCCCCAAAACTTCTCCTTCTAAACATTTTGCAAGGCATTTGTTTATTCTTTAATGAAAGTAAGCCGAGAAGACATCAGTGGCTCCCAGTTTAACATGGTACCTTAAACACATGGGCTTATCTTCTTTCCCTCTTGAAACTCTACTAAAACGACAGGAAACAATGTTTATCCTCAAAGAGAAAGAGAGAGGAAGAAGTTACTGCAGGAGGGGACAGATCTGAGCAACATTTTGGAATATGGAAGACATATGGACTGGGGTGACTGGCTACAGGTAAAGATCTCTTTTCTTTCATGCCTGCAGGGAGAAGGATGCTGACGTGAACCATAAAATCCCAGGAAGCCTCTGGAATTAGAGGTACCAAGTATCTCCAACAATGGGACACGGGAAGGCAAAACGATGAAAGAAAGACTGGTTGAAAATTTATAGAAAGAGAACTTGACCCCAGCCAGATTCGATCTCCAAGCAGGTAACAGTCTCTCACCAACCCAAGCAGAAGATTTGGTGTCTTCCCAGGCACAGCTGAGGGTAGCCATAAGGTCCACTCTCCCCAAAATACTAGCTAAGGAGTGGTATGGCCAGGGTTTTTAAAAATGTCTCCTTCTTCATCCAGCAATGGGCAGGAAATCAGCAGACTCTGCTCTGGGAAAACTGACCCAAAGGAAAAGATCTAAAAGCACTAACTGAGAGATTCTCTCAAGAAAATGACCAAGTTTGCTGCCTGACCCGATGAGAGCAAAACTTCTACATTACCAACCCCATTCATTTACCCAGAACTTCCAACAGCTCTTTCTGCCTCAATCTCAGTCGTGAACCAAAAGCCACAAGTCTTGATATTGGAGCACCACCTCTGCATGAACGAGAACTCAGGGCAAGCAGAAAGGACATGCTGACCGCCACGAGAGACAACGTGAGGAACGGAAGAAAATTAAAAGGCGACAGTAACAACCATTGATACGGATAGGAAGATAGATGAATTTTTACATTCATGAAAAAGAATGGAGTACTGTGTTTAAAAATGAGTATTCATAGAACAAATAAGAATTGTTAGAAATTAAAAATATAATAGCCAGAATATAAATGTCAGTAGAAGGGTTTGCAAGATGTAATTGAAGAAATTTTCTAGAAAATAGGGAGAGAAAAGATATGAAAATTACAGAATTATTTCAGGAAGTCCTGAGGTTGACTAATGGAAGTTCCAGAGAGAACAGATTTCAAGGGTATCACTTCCGGAATCAAAGAACCTGTCAGGTGTCTGACACAATAAACTCTCACAAGCCATGACCCATCGTCATAAAATGTAGGCAGACCAGAGATTAAGAGCGGATTCTAAAACCTTCCTGAGAACAAGCCGGTTACCCACAGAGCTGTGTTGGGAAGTCAGTGGGCATCTCAAATCAAAACCAGGATGTGAGAACACTGTCAGGCACAGTGGAGGCCCCAGGAATCTTCCCTCCCACCTAACAGATGTGGAGCTAGCAGCAACCATCTGAAGTAACTGTTTGGGAACTGACGCAGGGGAGAACTGGATGAAGACGCTGGTAAATTTTTGGAATTTTGGTGTATTTCAACGTATTCCATGGTGGTGGCTACCATTCCTCGGTCTCCAACCCCATGTATGCAGCAGTGCGGGCAGCTGTCCCTAGTGGTGGTGCAACTGGCTGGAACATGGATGGGCAAGAAGGACCTTATCCTCCAAATATTGGGGTGGTAGGCCCTGATTGCTGTTTGCTGCTTTTGATCCATGAGGGGCTAGCACAGAGGTTGGTGACCATTGTTTAAACCCTCAATGGCTGAAGTGGCTTCCAGAGGATTTAAAGAGACAGTGCTCCCTTCCTCCCACTCTTGGGAGCCAAACTTAAGGAAATCAGGTCACTGGCTGACCACAGAGATAAAGGAACAGAAACTTCAGTGACCACACACAATAAATGCATACTTTGCAAAATTAGTTTGGAAAAGCCACAAATGGACTCCAGCTGTCAACAAGCAAGATACAGCAATCCCTGAGAAATGAGAGAATTAGAATTACTATAATGTAATAGTTAAAATATCCAGTTCTCAGAAAACTTACAAAACATACAGAGAAATGAGAAAATATGGCATATTCACAGAAAAAAGAATTTGACAGAAACTTGCCAATCAAGAATTACATATCCTGCACTACTATCCTTCAAGAATGAAATTTCTTAAGAAATTAAGACGTTTTCAGATAAACAAAAGCTGAGGGAATTCATCCCCAGTTCATTAGACCTGCCTACAAGGAATGCTAAAGGGAGCCCTTCATGCTGAAATGTAAGTACTCTAGACATAGACACAGCCATGAAAACAGATAAGGGACACTGGTAAAGGTAACTACATAAGTAAATATAAAAGCAAGTATTATTATATTTTCTATGTGGCTTGTAACTCTTCTTTTTTTCCCTATATGATTTAGTGGACCAATGCATAAAACAATGATTATATACCTATTTTAATGGGCATAAAATGTATAAAGAGGTAATAACAGTATAAATGGGAAGGGACAGAGATATAGCAAGAGAATGTTTGCATATTATCAAACCTAAGTTAGTTTTCAAATAAAGTTGTTATAAGTTTAAGATGTTAATTATAATCCCCAAGGTGACCACTAAGGAAGTAACTTTTAAAAGTACAAAAAAAAGGAGGGGCATCTGGGTGGCTCAGTTGGTTAAGCGTCTAACTCTTGATTTCGGATCAGGTCATGATCTCATGGTTTGTGAGATGGAGCCCTGTGTTAGGCTCTGCACTGACAGCATGGAGCCTCCTTGGGATTCTCCCCACAATCCCCACCTCACTATCTCTGAATAAATAAATAAACATTTAAAAAAAGGAAAGAAAAAGTGAATCAAAATGTTATATTATAAGTAACCAACTAAATACAAAAAAAGGTAGTAATGCAGGAATTGAGGAACAAAAAAAACATAACATCAAAAACATAAGATACAGAAAACAGATAAATGACAGAAGTAAATCCCTTTTTGGTCAGTCATCACATCAAAGTAAGTGGACCAAATTCCCCTTTTAACAGGTAGAAATTGGCAAATTGGATTAAAAAATAAAGCAGTATCCATCTATATGCTGTCTACAAGAGACTTCCTTTAGATAAAAGGACACGAAGAGATTGTAACCAAAAACAATGAACAAATATATTTCATGCAAATAATAGCCAAAAGGGAGCTGAGGTGATTATAGTATTATCAGACAAATAGGCCTTAAATCAAAGGCAGTTACAAGAAACAAAGAAGGACAAAATATACTGGTAAAAGTTTGATACAGCAAGAGGGTAATAACAATTATAAACATACATGCACCTAACAACAGAGCCCCAAAATATATGAAACAAAAAAAAAGACAGAATTGAAGGGAGAAATAGATAGTTCTACAATAATATTTCCATATTTCAATACCCTACTTTTAGTAGTGGATAGAAGAACCAAGTAAAAGGTAAATAAGGAAATAGAGAACTTGAACAACACTATGAACCAATACATATAATAGACATATACAATATACTACACTCAACAACAGCAGTATACACAGTCTTCTCAAGTGTACATGGGACATTCTCTACAATAGACCATATATTGAATCACAAACCAAATGTTTAACAGGCTTTAAAACATTGAAATCATTCAAAGTGTCTTTTCTTTTTTTTTTTTTTTTTAAATGTTTTATTTATTTCTAGGAGAGAGAGAGAGACAGCGTGAGCAGGGGAGGGTCAGAGAGAGAGGGAGTCACAGACTGAAACAGGCTCCAGGCTCTGAGCTGGCAGTCAGCACAGAGCCCGACGCGGGGCTCGAACCCACGAACCGCGAGATCATGACCTAAGCGAAAGTCGGAAAGTCGGACGCTTAACCGACTAAGCCACCCAGGCGCCCCTCAAAGTATCTTTTCTGATCAAAATAGAATGAAACTAAA